GGACTCACCCACGCACAGACAGGGAGAGGAATGGAAAATGGCGTGCTATCTTTATAATCAGTATAATTTTACATTACTCGAAAATTTGATTAAGCAACTATTCACGGGACGGGCGCGACAAACACGACAACCCATGTACCACAACATTGGGCAATGAGTCGGTAATAAAACCGTGGGACTTTGTTGGAAGGATACTTTGTAAATGCACACATAATTATAACTATCCTGGTTCCATTCTGGATGTCGCAGACCAGACTTGAGTCCCACTGACCAACATGTGTACACACACCTAACCTAGCGCGTGCCTATATTATAGTTTGACTAGTGCTATAATAATTATAGGTGTGTTACTCTTTTCAAAAAAGTGCTATTCACGGCATATGTTGAATTGAGGAATATGAGATTTGCACATAATGTTAATTCTGGTGTCTCGGACCAGCTGAGTCCCACTTGCTACTGACCAACATGTACACACACCTAACCTAGCGGCATACCTATCGTGACTGACTGCTATAAATAGGTGTGTTACCAGCTGAGTCCCACTTGCTACTGACCAACATGTACACACACCTAACCTAGCGGCATACCTATATGACTACTGCTATAATATAGGTGTGTTACCAGCTGAGTCCCACTTGCTACTGACCAACATGTACACACACCTAACCTAGCGGCATACCTATATGACTAGTGCTATAATATAGGTGTGTTACCAGCTGAGTCCCACTTGCTACTGACCAACATGTACACACACCTACCTAGCGGCACATACCTCATATGCTACTGCTATAAATGAGTGTGTGTGTTACCAGCTGAGTCCCACTTGCTACTGACCAACATGTACACACACCTAACCTAGCGGCATACCTATATGACTAGTGCTATAATATAGGTGTGTTACTCTTTTCTTATTCACGGCGTATGTTGAATTGAGGAATGTGCATTTTCAGAGACTTGCACATAATGTTGGATCTTTCTATTACACCTGACGCCCCTGTGTGTATAAACAATCTCGTGTCTATTTTGTTTTCCTTTCCGAGAAATCTTGTTTTGTGTGTTTACTGTTCCCCGGCAGTATCGTAAACAACGGTATTATGGACGTAATGAGCATCATTATCCGTTTGCATTGTGAACAAGTTCAGGAGCCAAAACCATTACAAGACTTAAGTTATACAATTACATAGATCGTGACAAATTCTAGTATTGATTACGCTCATAATACTTGCACTGGCCAACAACTCTCAAGTGGATCACGGCAAGGCGTGTGTAAAAGGGGTTAAACGTCACAATTCTGTCTTAACGGTGCATGCATAGGGTAAAAGGAAGTGTGGATAGGGTTAAAACACAAGACCCCGGGTCGAAGAGCATGAGATGAGTTGAGGTAGCAGATATTTCTAGTACACAAACATGTTCCGTTGACAAACATACATATTATTATGCTCATACATTGGGACATGCATGAGACTCATGCATTTGAACATGCATGAGTCTCATGCACAGAGTTGTATCGATGTGTGTGTGTGTGTATGTGACATGGGCTTGTCAGACGTACCATACATCTTCCCCTCATCAGAGAGGATTATCTTTCTCCGACCGCATGGAGGATAGATGGCGAGAGCTTCTTGAAATGCCTGTTCGATGTCCGGAGCCCACACTCCCTCCGCATCGTTAGTTACATCCCCCTCCAAGTTCTCCTGATACACAGAATAATAATTATATAGTAAGTACACATCTGTAGCTTCAACTTGGTTTTATCAGTCAAATCATCAATATTTGTTGGTAAATTGATTTCTCCATATCGACTGTTTGTACTGGACTCAGCGAGACAATGAGTCAACCACTGGTCAATTGCTCTTGTACACAAAATCACACTCTCTCCTTCTCGTCCCCTCTCTCTCTCTCTCTTCTTACTCTTTCTCCCCTATTTTGATTACTCACGTCTTCTCTCAAGTGTTCTCTCTCTCTCTCTCTCTCTCTCTCTCTCTCTTTCCTTCTACTAACACACACACACTCTCTACTCTAATACGTTCCTCCTGTCCACCCTCTTTACTAATCAGAATGCCAAACAGTGTATATACTCATTACCTGTGATGTGTTGCCAGGAGACATTCCAGCTTGAGAATTCTGTCCGTCGCCATGACCACCACCACCACCGAGTGCATTTGCAAACAAATCTTTCGGAGGTGTCCCGGCCATTGCGTTGGGATCAATCGGTTTGTACGCCTGCTGCAGGCTCGGGTCCATAGTTCAGTATACTCTGAGATTACTAGAACGTCGCGGGGCTTTGCCGCAGCAACAGGGACTCAGTAATACCTGTAATGGTTTTGAAAAAGGTTCATTCTTTTTACAAGAATACAGGAATGTATATGGGAGGGGTAGGTATGTAGATTTTGTAGCTAATACCCTCTCAATAATTAGTTTTTCGAAATTGGGTTCAATCTGTGTGTATCTCATACGCTGCATGCAGTAGGAACGTAAAGCTGAACGTAAACCCTACAAAGAAAGAAGCCTTGCCTCGTAAAGCCTGCCCTCCGACACACACGTCCCCACAAGACACTCAACACTCCACTCTACCGATCAACACGACCGCTACTTCCGATTGTGTAACCGTAGCTCTGCAGACGGTAACACTCGCTCTCCCAGCTCCAGCCAGGTGTCCGCTCGCAGACCCGCCGCGCGCGAGAACTGGGCGGGCGCGGAAGAAATAACGGAACCTACACAAGGTGCAGCGTCAAGAGGAAAGCTATAGACAGTTTCTTCGAGGTTAGGTGCGAAAGGCACGCTAGCCGCGGCCCCCTAAACACGACGCAACAAACCCGAGAGAGAGAAATGTATCGGCCTCTTTACTCGCAGACGCACGCAAAGGGTCAGGGAAGAAACGGGGCCCACATAGACAGACGAAAACAACTACATGCCGCAGACAAGGCGTGCATAATTCAAAGACACGCAACTCACTTTGCACAAGGCGATCACCGAATAACACGAATTCTTCCGACTGCTGTGCCGTCGACGAGCGGTGAATGCTTGAAAACCTGCCGCTTCTGAAGCGTGGCAATTAGCTCGCACACACCTCTCTTCCCGGAATGTCAGCTATGCTCCCTACAACGCACACAAAAGAGGTCCACAGTGTATATACACGCTGGCTGCTGAGTGAGCGACACACTCGCCAGATAAATTCCTCTCTCTCTAACTGCGAATTCTTCGGATGTCCACTGGTGAAAAGGCACGGTAAACACGCATACCCGTCACCGTAACGCCGTATAAATTCCGGGCCTACAATACATGAAACTATGTGAGGCATGCATGTCGCTATGTATAAAATGTTCCATAAATAGGTGTATAAATTCCTGCCCGCGTGGATTACGTAGTCGAATTCCTAAGTTAGCGAAAGGAATTTGATTTTACATTCCCGGGCTCTAATTATGCGAAGAAAATTTGAACGTCCGGATTCCACATGGGATTTTTTTATTAGAGCCAAACGTGATGCCGGTGTCTCGGAACCACAAGCTAGTAGTACTGGGAGGGGAGAGGGTGGGAAAGACGGCCATAATCGAGCAGTTCATTTTCGGCAACCACGTAATCGGGCAGGTGAGCTTGCGAGCTCCGGATCCTCGCGAAATGCTAACTTCACCTCCCTCTCTCTCTCTCTCTCTCTCCGTTCCCTGTCGACTGATCGCCATCAGAGCGGGCTCCCGACCCTAGGAGACGTGTACGAGGCTACGGTGGAAACCGAAAAGGGCCCTTACGAAAAGCTGCACATATTCGACACGCCTGGATCGGTAAGCAACATGTATATACGGATGTACGTACTATGTAATCTTATGTTCCGTGTCCGCAGTTGTTTACGGATAAGGAAAAAGAATACGAACAGGAACACTATCTCAACATTGCAGATGTGAGTAAGCTACGTGTATAGATTATCAGTTGTGGAGGCACTTTTATTACAAAGTTTATTGCGTAGCTATACACTCTCGTATTTTATGTAAACCTCGGTGAACGAAGTATCACATGTTTTGAGGGGAAATATGAGAACATGAAGGGAGAGGAGTAGTTTATCCTGCCTCCTCCTCCTCCTCCTCCTCCCACAGGGCTATCTGCTGGTGTATGAGATTACGTCGAAGGCGTCTTACGACCTAGTCCTCGCCCTGAGACAGAAGATTGCCTCCAGGAACCGGGACGTGAGTCATAATACCCTTCATTTGAGCGCCAATTTTAAAGGGAATGTGGCGGTTTAAAAGGGCTAAATTCGGAACATGGAAAAAATATTTTTATTGGGGCCTACTGTTGAGTTCTAAATTTAGCCCTTATGTAATGTTGATAGTGGTTCCTCTCGTTGCTCTCTCCCTCTCCATAGGCAACCATAGTAATCATTGGGAACAAATGTGACTTGAATGCAATCCGCGAGGTTGACAGTTCAAAGGCCTCTCAGCAGTGTAAAACGCACGGCGTGAAGTTCTACTGAGGTGACTGTTCTAGATCGGGACGGACTGAAGGAGCTGATGTGTTATATGGCTTGGAGAATGGCTAACCCAGGTTTGTAGTACATTTACTACATCATCACTGTCCTTTTGGATCCAGTATTATATCTCATGTACAACGTACAAGTTGAAGGTGGTACGTACGTTTGAATTTTAGGTACCGGACATTTTAGTGTAAGGAGCTGTAGTAGCTCTTCCAAGACAATTGTGTATTCGTACTCTGGAAATAATTACCAAAGTTCCTAGGGGGTGACGACTAGGCTGCGCTGATAAAACGCGTGATGTTATGTAAACGAGTATCCCACGTTGACTCTGTGTTTCCCACGTGAGCCAGCTAACTACACCGTCTCGGCTGTGTAGGGTACGTGTCTTCATGTTAGTGGTACTAGTCAAAGTGTTGCAGTTTGCATTCGGTTGCGTTGTGTTGTGTTTTTTGCCGTCCGTACACTGTGAGCCCTGCCACGGCCGAGTTGCCTTAGTGAATAGCTAGTAGACAAGTGTTGTGGCAGCCTGGTTTCTTAATACGTAGGGAGGAAGTTCCTTTAATTACTGACTGGGTCACCTTCTCATAACCATCTCCCTGAAAAACAACTTCTAGAAAAAGATTCTGCTTTTCTACCTGCACGCTTATACTGCTGCCTTCTCTGTTTTTCCCTGTAGGTAAAAGCCTAGCATGAAAATCAGGTCGCTACTGTATGCAGGATATTAAATGTACCGTGAGCTGCCCATCACTTGGAATAGTATATATGTGTGTGTATGTGTGTGCACAAAGAGGTTTCTATTTTTAGATCAAACAGTTTTGACTATAATATTATTGCTGAAAAATAAGCATAATTCTATCACTGATTATAATTTCGACGTTTCTGTTTGAAGCGTTCAAAATTTTCTCTCTTATCAAAAGTTTTATACAATGCACGGAATTGCTGTATAGTTGATGGGGAAATGGTGTTGCCACACAACCTAATACCAGTAGCCACAACATGTAGTAAGCATACATTGTATGCCTCGCTGGCCTGTTGAAGTTTTGTCTGTTACAGCAATCATTGCTCCATTGTTCCCAGCACATTCTTGACATATTCTGAACACCAGCCATTTCTAGTTTTCCCCCCTCTCCACCCTTGGCTGTAGAATGCTGTAGCTTTCTTGTATTCACTGGCACTTGCTGACTGCACATTCCAGCTATAGTCAAGGTATTCAGGATGGTGGATTGGTCTGTCCTTCCCCCCACTTGCTTGCTAAAAGTACGAGAAGTTTAGGCCACCCTATTTTCCACAGTCACTCCTGAGGATTATTTTCACTGCACACTCCAGCTATAGTCAAGGTATTCAGGATGGTTGGTTGGTCTGTCCTTCCCCCACTTGCTTGCTAAAAGTACGAAAGTTTTAGGCAACTTCTTGAAACATTGTGTGTATGTTAGCGGTTACCTACTTTAACTTGGTGCAAATTACCGATAATTGGAAGCACAATTTGGGGAGGATTTTTAATGTGATTATCTCTCATCATTCATGTTACTTATGTGTACATATACAGTTTGGCTCTGCCCCATAGCTTTATCTATCATAGAACACTATTGCTGGACTTTGCTCGATGTACTTGTCAGAAATTACGTGTTACGCATCCAACACTTTTGTGCAATTAGTAGCTACAGTTAGAGAGAAATTTCTGTTAATATGAACATTTAACGGTCCATTGCAGTTCGTATTAACAAGGTTCCACTTGGATGGTAGTGACAGTGCCCCCCACCAGTGTACTATATAGCAGTATATACATTATTCATAGTGAGGGAATTACTAAGGTGGGTTGTGTGGGATGGAGTTGGTAGGGTTGGAGTCCATATGTTGTGCTCCCACACTTCCTTTGTGATCTGTAATGTGGGCTTTAGCACTTCCTGAGTGGGTCCAGTGAAGGAGAAAGAGGGAGAGAGAGGAAGAGAGAGTGCGGAGTGAGAGTGTTGAAGGAGAAGACAAATAGAGAAGAGGGCCTGGGAAAGGGTAGAGGGAGAGAGAGGGAGAGGAGAGAGAGAGAGAGAAGGAGCAAGAGAGGTAGAGGAAGGAGAAGAGAGGAAAAGAAAAGATGAGATGGAGAAGAAAGAGGGAGGTTTCAATATGGAGAGAAAGAGAGCGTTATGTTGTTGTTTGCTAACATTTTACTTCACGAGGCACTTGAAGTTGTACACACTAATTACCACAGTTGTATCTCATGGACTGTTTGGGTGGGGGGTAATTTGCATTTCCAAGAATGCGACACTAGATATTCTGACATCATCATTTCAACAGGCAAACGACCTCTCTTTAACTCTATTTATTAGTAATTTGATATTCGGTTTAATCCATGGAGATTTTGTACACAAAGCGTTATTGCGTTTTGCCGATGGCATTGCTGAATAATGGTAGGTACAAAACATGCCTTTGCATTATAAAAATGTATATTTACTAGCATTTTTATTGGAGGCATGCATTCAGCCGCGTGCGAATGTTGGCAGTGAGAGAGTGGGTGGACTGCCAGTAGGAACGCTAGGCTGGCCACTGGCGATGTATTACTCCCTCGTTTGTCGGCAAACAGCAATTATCTCACTGCTGTTGGTCTTGGGAACGTAGGAATGATGTGGCGGGCTTCAATTAGGATCATAAAGCTTCCATTTGGCATCTGTTGAGGGTGGCGAGCAATGGAATGTTCAATTTGTGGTTGCCGCGGCAGCCGCTGTGCCAATTATTTGCTAACGATGCCTGGGAATGCGGCTGGCGAGTTGATTAGTTCGAGCCATCGTTTCCAGGATATGCAGTGATTAAAGGATAATTAGGGGACTAAAAATGACAAGTATGCAGTAGTCACACCCTTATTACCAGCTGCTTAATAATCCTATATCAATTGAAGTGAAACAAACCTCTGACAAGGGGACCATGTATAAACCTCTCCCTCTCTCCTCACGTCCAGGACGACCGTTTCCACAGCTACATTCTCTCTCATCCTCCTCCAGACACCCAGTTACCACGGCAAGAACCACATCCCAAGCTCAACCCACCGCCAAGACCCACTCTAATAAACGCCCACCCACGACATCATCGAAAATGACATCATCACTGCTGATGACATCATCTAATTGTGAAGACAACGAAGAGGGGTGCAAAGGTGCAGCAGCTGGAGGTGAAGGAGATGGGTGGGAAGAAGAGGAAGATGGAATGGAGGAAGAAGAAGATGTGGCTGGTTGGAAACCACTTCCCGACGATGCTCAGTTCCCAAGGGGTAGTGGAGGGAAACTGTTCTTTGCAGACTGTCTCAGCAGTCGGAACAAGTACAGAGATGACGTCATCTGAAATGTGTCTCTCTCTACATTACATCGTTATTTCAGGACACATTTGCATTGCAGGACAGCTTTTCGATAGCATGTTCTCCATCAGCACTGGTTACAAGTGTAGGCCACTCCCATTCCCCGTCATAGACCGACAGTTCATTCTCCCACAATCATTGGTGAACCATGAGTGTTTGCGCAAGCGCAGTACTTACGTGAGAATGCGCATGCGCATATTAATGTGGGCGGTCCTCAAAAGGGTGTGGGGGTCCGGGTGTGTGTGTGTGTGTGTACGTTTAGGGTTCGACTACGTAGCCAGCCAGCCAACATGAACAGAGGAAGCAGGGGTCAAAGGAGCGGCAGACAGTCACGTAGTTGTAGATTTGAGTAGCAGAGAGAATGGAGCGACGCCCGTTCATCGTGATAGCACTGGAAGTGGTCTTAGGTGCCCTCGCAATCATGGTATGATGCTGTATGCCACCTCCGTAGATTACGGACCCTCTGAATGAAGTATATACACCACTGTATAAAGGACACTTGGTTCTGCCCCATACTATACATTACCTCCGAATAAGGGACGCCTATAGCCCTCTGAATACAATTTCCATGTTCTAAAGTGTCCCTTGGTCAAGGTTCTCGCTGTATGGAGTAAGTATACAGATAACCCTCACACTCTCTCCACTGTGACGACTGTATATTGTAGGTAGGTCCTGTTGGAGCATTGGGAATGGCAGCAGTGGCTCTCGGCATCTTCAAGAATACATCCATCTATTTCTTTGTAAGTTTATTTCAGAGCTCTTAAAAAACATTTGACTTGTCAAATTTATTTATAATTATAGCTACTGCCATTATGGTGGGTGATTGTCCCCACCTTTAATAAACAGAGTTTTGAACTTTCTTGGATGTGTAGAAGAATGGTGCATATATAAATTCACTTATAATACGTGCTAGGGGTATGTATATTATGTATTATATTATATAATAAGTGCTATATTATGTGGGGTAGTCACCAGACCCTTTCTCTCTCTTTCACCAGAGTTACAGCAGTCTAACTGTAGAAGATATTTCGGACCATGAACTCCGTCTTAAAGTTTATTCTGCCACTGGTCAGTTTGTTCAATGCATTATTATTATTCACATATTTTGCGTAAAAATATGTTGTTTTTCATATAAAGGTACTACAATTGCAGTTTGTGCACTTGAGATAATAGTTAAAGGGGCACTTGTCTTTCTTCAATTCTTGACCATCACAAAAAATGGAGTTAATTCGAAGACGAAAATACTGCGTCTTGTGGTAAGCCATAACTCACTGTGCTATCTGTTCCAGCGATTATGTATATACTTTCATTTCTCATAATACTTACCAAAGACGTGTCATTAATTATGCTTCTTTTGTGAATTTTGCCACTTAGGATATAGTTGTCAGTTTCCTTATGGCAGGAGGTCTCATTGTCTGTGGAGTTCTGCTGACTGTCTATGGCAAGGAGAGCGTGTGGCGTGATCCTATTAACAGGGTTAGCGCTGATACAACTGGCATATTCATCAGACAGGCCATGACTACTGCTGGGGTAGGTATCTCTACCGAATAATTGCAGTAGTCGTGTACAACAATCGAACTCTCTTTTTCTCTCTCCTTTTCTCTCTTTTTGCAGGTATTCTGTTTCATGGGCACGGCTCTGTTTATCTTGGTGGCTGTTCTGATGCTGGTGTTCCTCGTAAAGGATTGGAAGAGAAGAGAGATCAGGACAAACTCAGCCAGTAGACAGGGAAATACGGCCGAACGAGAAACCACTGGCAATGAGCAAGGCACCAATCAGACTCAGATTTAATACAGTATGGCAACGGACTGATACTGTGCTAACGTTCCGATTCACTTCTGCGTCCTATCGGCGGCAATGCGCAAGCGCATCGATTGCGCAACTTTTTTCACTCGCGTTCGCTTACGCATGCGCACTCTAAAATAAAAGACGGCAGAAGTAGGATAGCGTGTTAGTATTCGATCAGCTCATACAGAGAGACGAGAGAAATGGGATTGAAAGGGAAACTTGCAGGAGAAATCCTCGGGCCGCGTCCGGGTCTCATGATACTCAGCTTTTTCGGAGGTCGCGTGGAGATCATTCTGCGATTCCTGGCCATCTTGGTATATATAGCTATTATAAACATCCTTACCCTCCATATCCCTGGCTTTCCTCTCCTAGCTTGGATCTGTTCCAGTGCTGATAGCGGCGGCCGTGGCTCTAGCGACTCTGAGGGGCATCGAGAGTATTGACGATGTACCGGATGGTGGCGATTTAAGCGAGCTCCGGGACAACACTTACGCGGCTACAGGTCATTATCTGAAGTTCAGCATATTATTAGTTCTTTACTCAAGTATTATTGGTCTCTTTTTTTATTCTTTCTTTGCAGGAGTTGCAATTGCGGTTGCTTGCTTTGGGATTATCTATGAAGTTTTGTTTATTGTTCTTCGATTTCTCAACATTGGCCTTTTGAACCTGAAAAGCAAGATTCTTCTAGTTGTCGTAAGTTCGCCAACAATGTCTCACTTAGAAACATCTCTCTGAAGTGTATATATATACCTTTTCGACTTGTGCGTAGGGTTTAGTGCTAAGCCGGAAGATTGTCTGTGTGTATGTATGTGGGCGTGTGTACAGAGTGTTGTATAGCTAATTGGAACTTTGGAACACTGTAGTCAGTGCAACCGTCAACATCGCTTCTTTTGTGACTGAATGCTTTGCTACATTAGTTACTAGCCAGTCCATTGCTCTTTCTTGTCATCTGCACGCGGCCATTCACAGTTGGGCGTGGCACACCACTCACTGTGTGTCACACAAGGGTAGCTAACTGAAGCTGGCCAAGTATGTTGTGGTAGGCATCCACTTTGTGCAGTTCTAAGAACAAAACCAGGAGAATAATCCGATACTTCTAGAGTTGCCGGCATCACTTCTGTGGTTTCCATACCAAAGTTCTCCTAGAAACATCCCGGCAACTGTGTAGTATTATGTCATCCATATCTAGTATCCGCTGTCCCATTGAAACCTTTTGAGGAATTCCGTAGTAGTAGTAATAAAAGCCGAAATAAGTGTTTGTAAAGTTGGAGGGTTTTACTACAATTTTAGGGATTACTCGTTGAAATTTTTGCAAAGGTATATATCTAGCTAGATAGGCATGCTTTACTGTTTCTGATGCTGTAAATGTTTTACCACTACCGTTAGTACTGGCTAACTCTGAAATCAAAATCACCAATGCAGGATATAGTGATCAGTTTTCTGCTGGCAGCTGGTCATTTCATTGCCGGAGTACTGGAGGCATTCTATGCCGGCGAATGGAACGACAACTTTACTGCAGTTGTGGACGATATAGACACCATCAGGAACTCCATGATTGCTAGCGCTGTGAGCCTGTCTACGTTCGCCCTGTGATAAACAATACTTACTTGTCTCTCTTTCTTCTCCCCTCCTTTCCTTCTCTTGCTCCTCTTCAACATCTTCCTCTTCCTCTTTCAGGTGTTTTGTTTCATCGGCACGGCTCTCTTTGTCCTCCTGGGTGTGTTCATAGTCATCTTCCTCATGAAGGATTGGAACAGCAAGGTTGTCAAGGCAACGGTCAAGGATGCTGTAACCGGATAATCGACATGTTTTGCTCCAACAGCAACAATGTATTTTAGCAAACTAAAAACTGCCATAATAAAAAATTGTTCAGCATACTGTTTTAGCATTGATTATGCGTTTTTATTACCGCCGACGCGATATGCATGCGACGTCGAATCTTTTGCGCATGCGTAATAAGTTTGGGCACGTATTGACACCGCGACACCGCGACACCGGTGGTGGTCTCTGCAAAACGTTGTACACGCAACGTAGGGGGACCTTTGCGTTGTTGCGGTAAAAGACGATCGACAGGTGTGAGGGCTAGTTTCAGCTCTTCCCTGCAGCTCCAGACCGTAGTGTGGACTACAGCCAACCTGCTAACCACTGAGAAGTACGGCTACTGGTATGTGTGTGTAGGTAGCGATTCTAGATTGACAACTAGCATTCAAGTCCCACTGTCAAATTTTCACAAAAAAATTAATATTGCAGGTATGATGGGCCAATCAACTGTACTCCTTTTCCTCATCCTCCCCCACATCATCACACCCTCACACTCTCACGACGACACCACCCCAGGAGATGACGATGATAACGTCACCACGACAACCAACGGGGATCAACAACGAAACTGTAGCAACAGTTTTACACTTCTCGAAGAGAGCCTTTTGTCCAATGAAAACAACAGATTCAATTTGCTCAAGACATTTTATCCTCCGCGGCGCTCCCCCCCTGTTTTCATTACCGTCACTTACCGGTTTGGCGAGTTTGGTGGGAACCAGTTTGACGGGAGCGAAAACCCGTCTGACGGGTCTGAAGGCTCTGGTTCCGGAAATCATGTGTCTGAAAACCGGTTTGACAGGTCTGGGAACGAGAGTGTCTGGTACTGGTCTGCGTCCGAGGTGTACCTGGTACAGCCTCTGGACGTCCTCCAGTACACGTCTCTATTCCATTCCAACCTCCAGTACCGCTCCAGTCGGGTGGATTTGGAATTGAACCGAGACTGCCTCGGAACGAGAAAAGACTACCTCGAAATACTAACACAGAGAGTGAGTCTCACGCGTGGGTGTAAACCTTTTTGACTTGCTACGTTTTCCCTGAAACAGCACCACATGCTTTTCTGAAACTTGACTTGCCTCTAAACTCACCTTGTATTAGCTACATCTATTGGTTTTGGCCAAACGAGGCCCCACAATAGATTATGATGCTATTTACTACAATACAGGCACTTCTGTGAATAGCTTTAGAATGGCAGACCACGAAAGGATTCTGTTTGCATGACAAGGCTGCATGATCAAAGTTGGTTGGGACTTATCCTTGTGCCCTTGTCGGCCTTTCCTTGTCAGCATAATTATTTCACTCCTCTTCCTCCTCCCGTCCTTTCTTCCCCTGCTATTGCTTACTTCTTCCATCCTATCCTCTCTCCCTTCTTCTCCTCTCCATCTCCTCTCCACCTCCTCCTTGCCTGCAGCTAAAGCTCTACGCCCAAACCCAACGGGTGTCTACGTTGTCTGAACCTCTTCGCATATCAGACCTCTATCTTGCTGTCGCTGCAAGTCGCGACGAAATCATGTCCGACACATTTCAGAGCACGTTCGCCCGTGTATGGCTTCACCTGGTGTTTCTCCTGTTCCCTGTTGCCACGGTGATAGTCGTGTACACCTGTGACCCCATACAGCTGTTGCTAGGCGATAAGACCTGGCAGAAACTGCGTGACGAGAGCAATCATCCACGATTTGCAGCCATGATTCAAATCTCGGTTGTCTTCACTCTGTACGTCTTTGTGATGGGCTGTTTGTCGTTCGCCGGTACCCTCACTACTGATGTCTATTTAGAGCCCACCCACAGCGGGTTCTATCTCACCACCGTCACAGGTTTCCTGGTCGACCTGGCAGCGTTCCTATGGGTGGTGTTTATCCTAGTGACAAGTTTCTGCAAGAAAGTGACCTCGACTCGAATCCACACGCTCCTGGTTTCCGTGACGGCGTCACCGTTGCTGTGTGGCGCCAACCATCTTCCTTACATCATTCTGTCGTACGTTTCCGACCCCTACCAAGCCGGCTCCATATCCATGGTCTACTTCTTCACGTTCCTCCTCTTCTACTTCATTTTCGGTCAAGTCTATTCCCGTGTCGTTCTCAGAACGGGATCGAGACCAAAGAATTTCCCGCACGCAGTCAATGCTGATTTAGTGCATTTCCCTGAGGGAGATGCGTGCAGGAGGAAATTTAGTGTGCCTTTCAATACACAAGCTGTCATGATCAGTTTAGGTGAGTGTATATATAATATGAGCATCTGATATTACAGTGCAAGACCCATTCCTCCTCTATTTACCGCATCTTTATGATTTTCAATTGTCTCCAATTGTTTGACTTTCAGACTGTGATTTACCTTTAACCCTTTCCCTCCACAAGACACAATGTGCACAGCTTGTAACCCCTACTAAATGTTGCAATAATTAACCCCTTTCTCCCTGCTGCAGAATTAGCAACTTTTAAGTATTAAAACCCTTTCCTTCCACAAGACATAATGTGCATAGCTTGTATATAACCCTTACTAATGTTGCAATCAACCCTTTTCTCCCTGCTGCAGAATTAGCAACTTTAGCGACTTTTTAACCCTTTCCCTCCGCAAGCAAGATACTATGTCGATTACAGTGTCAATTATTAACCCTTTTCTCACCACGTCTACTACAGTAATAGTGACCCCTCTCCTAGTGTTCTACGAGGGACTACTAATAATCCTGTTCTGGTCACTACCAATCAGAAAAACTCTCGAAGACTCACCAACGCGCCTCTACACGACTTACCAAGGCACTGGGATCCTGATAGTTGCTCTGCTAACCTACAACATAATCCTTCGCCCTTCTCCGTTTTCATTCGCCGGGGTTTTCGATAAGCTCGGGAAGCAGCTGCAAATCCCTCAGAAGATTGGGCGGAAGTGGGTGAGGATGGGAGACGAGGCGAAAGCGGCCGCTGTCATAAGAACGCTGTACTCGTTGGGGGAGAAAGAGGGCGTGGCAGGAAGTGGGTTAGATATACAGGAAGTGATGTCATCGGTTCCAGAGAGCCCCGGGTCGTCAAAGAGTCCGAAGAGGGGAGGGGCCTATCGGTGTGGAGATCTGGACAAACCCGTCGTACGGATGGAAGCGATGAACAGTTTAGACAAAGAAAGATGTTCGGACAAAAAAGAAAATCAACTTGAAAGTGGACATAAAGAGACCGTTTTGTAAATAATCAACAAACACCGTTTTTACTAAATTGACAATTTTAAATTGAGCCAGTTTTAACCATTATAATGGTATAGTTCAAGTTATAATGCTGTTTGTTCAAAGTAACAATAAACAACTAAATAATACTGTAGACTTGACAGAAAAATATAGCTCGCTGAGTGACAATATGACAAGGAAAAAAATTAATAGTAATGTAACCTGATGTAATGTTTAATGAGTTATTTTTGGAGGGAGTCTAAAAATAGCTCCCTCATATCACTCATGCTCTCCTTTATTAGGTTTGCAAATCTCGCAGAATCCTGGAGAGAGAGGGGGAACACGAACATGATAAGAATAAGTTACAGCTTTAACCCTAGCAAGCCACGGACAAATATGTCCAGAGTCTCCATTAACTCATAGAATTTATATAGGGCTATAATACTATGCGTTAATATGTCAATTTCTGCTTATTAAAGGAGGGGTCCAAAGGGTTTAAGAGAGGATGTGTGTGTATATGTGATACATACTGTGTTTAGGGCACTCTTGAAGCTCGAGACGTGGAAGTAAATGTGATAATCTCCTTGGATGATGTAAGACACCCCATATCCCTTCTCAGTCACCTAGCAACAGACAAACACAACGTTGTTATTGACCACACCCACCGGGAGTTCAGTTACAAGCACTGGTGTAGAGGGGTCTTGGTGGCATGTACAAACCACAAGAAATAATATACAATAGTCAGATCATCATACGTAGCTCATCCTTCTTCCAACCAGGTCCTATACAACATTCCCTTGTACCCATCACAATAGCTCTAGCCCCATTCCCATAGACGTGTATATACAATAAGATTGTTAGCCTAAGCTGAAGCATTGTAATAGAGATGTACACTGTAGATGTAAGAATTAAGCTAAAGCATCATATTATGTGTAGTTGTAAGTGAAGTTGTGTGAGGCTCACAGGTCCAAAGCCTCCTCCAGGACTGATGAGTTCGGGGTTGTTGTTGTAGTCCAGCTTACCTGTCTGCTGAGCTGGCGTCTGGAGAGAGAGAGAGACGATGTAATGCAGTCGATGATTATGACAACACTATAATTATTATGCGTAGCTCAAGATAAGTCTGCCTTCTGTGGACCACTCATTAAAAAAATGCGCCATTCTCAAATAAAATATTCTGCTGTGTAGTTCTCAATATGTATGGCGAGAATACGTTCAAAGCAGGTCACCTGACTGGTAGATAGTCGCCATGGTTCCCCGAGGACCTTGGCCAGGAACGGACTCTCAATCTTGAGGTACTTTGATATGACGTACAGACAGAACAGGTGTCGGTCCATGCCCTTCCCTGCCATCGCCAGCTTGTAGAGGAGCGAGTGCTTGTCCACCGCCTTCTGTAGCAGCTGCTTACGCTCTTTGTCCTGGTGGGATCAGAGGATGATGTAATGATTACATCATTGGGTAAATGTATGACCAATTTGTATGAGATAATTCAATAATGATGTAATGGTGACGTAATTGGTATGACATCATTGGAGACTCACGTCAGAGTCGGGGTTGCACATGGCTCGTATGAATGTGGTGGACTCCACGGTAACGGGCCGCACTGTCTCGGTCCTACCTTCCAAGAACAGCATCGTCATGGAGGCCTCGTACGTCAGACAGAAACTCCCGCCAGTATCCTAGGAAACACAACATTTCTCTGTCTTGCTGAAACCGAATGCCTTCAATAATCTACACTTATCGCTGCACTTTTACAAATACGTACATTGAAATTTGCTCATCTAAAATTTCTGTGTATTGCAAAGCCAAATTTTTAACTTTGTTGATGTGTCTCAGGAAATAAACCAGCGAACAAAAAGTGATTTTCTTTCGAAGCAAAGAAGAAGCAAACCTTGTAGTAAGCTAGTTGAAGAGCCATCTGAATGAAACCGTCTGGACTGATACCCATCCTCTTGATGACCCCCTTCCCGAACATGTCGTGGTGTAGGACGTAGAGATCAAGATTGGCGATGCTGGCCTGGGCTGTGGCTAGTTCAACCTCGATTCTAGACACAGCCTGGGAGAGAGAGAGAGAGAGAGGGAGAGAGAGAGAGAGAGAGAGAGAGAGATGGGAATTTTTTTCTGGGTGTTGTGCATAATTATAATGCATGTTGTGTACCATACCTCGGGTGGAAGATCCCACTCTAGTCTTCGAGGTTTGACCGAATATTGAACCTCCCCCTTGTTGTGACCGTCGCCACGGTAACCGATGGTATGCTCCAAGGTGCAGCTGTGCTCTAAATTGTAGCCTACGATCGGAGCATCGGCCCTTGGGTGGGGAGGGAGAGGGAGGGAGGGGAGAAGGAAACGACACACCATACACTCTTATTTTACTGAGCTTATGGAAATAAAAAAGAAATATACTGTAAAGGAGCTTCAGTAAAATGTATAATGAGTAAATGTGAGAGTGTTTTGTTACGTGAAAGAGAGAGAGAGAGAAAATGAGCAAAACTTAGTGATATACTTACCAACAGTGCTCAGCATTAATCCCCAGCTGAAAAAACAAAACGAGGTATATATAATTATAATGATAATCTCCAGGGGCAGACGAGGTCAAAGGTCACCTTTCCATTCTTGTAGATGATCACTGATACTGATTTGTCGAACCAGCGTGTGTACCCGTTGCCATGGAAAAGACTCTTGCAGTATTGCGTAAGAGCCGTATTGTCTCCGTTCTTTAATTACGAGAGTGACAAAAGTGATGAAAAGGTAAACAAGGAGAGTTGATTGTAATCATTAACTCATTGTGTATAATACTTACCTCAACATACAAAGATGGCTCCAGATCGTCGAACATAATCATAAATGCTGCCTACAGAAAAGGAATGATAATTACATTTCCTCTTCGTCATACTCCATTTCTCCCACCCCCCACACACCTTCTCCAATATCTCCATACTGGTCCTATTGACTCCAGTCATGAAGTACTTTTCCCTCATTTCAGCCCACGACTTGCGATCGGCAGCTGTCAGGGCAGCCAGGTGCTCCTCTCCTGGTCTCAGTTCCGCGTCACTGTCCTCCATGATCTGCTCCATGGTCCTGTTCCAGTACCAAATCATGGGAGAATGGGAATGGAAGTATGGGAACAGAAACATGGGAGAATGGGATAGCAAACATGGGAACAAGAATTGGAATGGAAATATAGGAACATAAAATGGGAGAATGGGAACTGGGATGAGTGAATGTGAATGTGAAAAATATAGGAACAAGACATGGGAATTAAAGCATTGGAATGAATATGGGAGCATGGAAAAATGAAAAAAAACAGGTGTGAACAAAGAGAAGGAAAGAGGGAGAATCTGACCACTCCAGATCTACAGGAGTCAGTAGCTTCTTCTTGTGGTAGAGACTGATGCAGTACCAGCGGCCTGACTTGTACACCACCACGTGGTTGGACGCCGCTCCGGGCCTGTGCACCAGCTTGTCTGTACCGTGAGAAGAAACAAAATCCCAACCTCTCTCTCCCCTCTCTTCCTTCTGCCCATCAACTCAATTGCTAAACAGGGTTGCCGTAAATGTCCACTGCAAGGAGCTCATAATCAAACTTGGCAAAACTGTATTTTAAAATAATATCTCCCTCCCTCTTCATCCCTTTCTCTCCCTCTCTCTCTCTCCTTCTCTCCTCTCTCTCTTCTCTCTCACCAGCTTCAATTCCGGGAATCCTGGTGGTACCAAAGGTCCTCTCGAACTGAGCCGAGCATAGAGGGATCCCGTTGCTGACCAGCGGAGCCAGACGCTCCGTCTCAATCTTATCTTTCAGTCGGGCCTGGATGTGGCAGATAAGACCGGCCCTGGCTGCCGGGAGACTCGTCAAGCTGAACCCACTGTTGTCCTGTAACCAACGGCAACAACAACAGCACAATGACTGGCTAAAAGAAACAAGCCTAGCATATTAATCATGTGACACTTTTCACGAAGCGTTTCATTTATTTTCACTGCATACTCCAGCTATAGTCAAGGTATTCAGGATGGTTGGTCGGTCTGTCCTTCCCCCCACTTGCTTACTAAAAGTACGAGAAGTTTAAGCCACCTTTTTAACAACGTTCATTCGAGGCTTTTGGGGTAAAATTTTTAATCTTTTGCTTACACAGGCATAGTAGTTGCTGTTGATCATGATGGAAGACCTGCCATGCAGATAGACATACTGCTCCCACCAATCAGTGACCTGCGAGAGATCACGTGACATCATGTGAGAGTCATGTGACTCGATATTTACTCACGTAGTTGTTAGCCCACCAGGACTTTAGGTAGAGATAGGCGTTCATCTTCTTACCTGGTCCTTCCTTCAGAGTTTGAGAGAGAGGGAGGGAAAGAGAATGTAGTAATGAAGTGGCAATTGATATACTGCTCGGTTTTGTTGTGTGAGGGAAAAGCTGTTACGCTCGTAAACACCTGAAAATCTTTGACGAGTCCTTCCATTTCTCTGTATTCGTCGTCATTCAGTAGAGCTCTGGCACTCTGGAGGTACTGGGGTTAAAACAGTTACACTCTGGAGGTACTGGGGTTAAAAAAGTTACAGCATTCTACTGGAACATCATATATAGCAGGAGCATAATACTAGAGGAAAGCAGCACATTGTTGGCGAGGGAGTGCGAGCAGTTTACTGAGTGTTTTGCGCGTATTTGGAATCATTGCGGTAGTGACAGACACAAGCAAATCATGCATGTGCATTCTGTGAAATACAGTCATGTTTTTTGATCTGTATAGTTTACATGAATGGACTTTGTAGTTGTATATACAGTTAAGACAGGAAGTGAAGGGACACTGAATGAGGATGAGTGGGCAGAATAAAGCACGGGCCAACTCTTCTATTATTACATCATCATCTACATACACAGTACTACATGTATTAATAGGTGGAATCCCACTAATACATGGAAGGAATGCTTCTTCAGTAGTAAACACTGTGTGACCTTACTTCCTACCACTGAAATGTAGGGGAAAGTTGACCTCTAAGATTATATAGTATTCTGCTCACTCTTCTGCAGGTGTCTTTGAGTCTGGGGACTGGTAGTCGTGGCAACGACCTCTGGTAGCTATAGAGCTGGGGTCGTTGGCGCCCCGTTACAATCTGAACCGACTTGAACCACAGCTGCGTTACCAGAGATGGCTTCCTGCCAGGAGAGAGAGAGAGAGGAATGAAGAAAGAGATATGAAAGAGAGAGAGAGAGACAAGAAGTAGGACAGACAGGATGCTTACAAACGTTCTGAGAGTATGTAGCGCTCATGTCGCCCATTTTGGGTGGATACAAAGAAAGGCATTGACCCGTGAAAGAGCTCACATGTATAGGGGCCTACCTGATAACAAGGTAAGGACACTGCAATTAACAAGGACACTGACAAAGGTCACCCTAAATTACCACATCATTAGCAATAGGCGCTTACCATCACATAAAAATCAAAAATTTTGTTAAAAGGTCAAAAAATTGTTAATTGGGAGGTGGAAATTGAACGTACCCTCTCGGCTCAAACATGAAGCCTTTGTACATGAGGAGTAGTTTGAGAGTGAACTGCTGAAGATAGGAGAAGAGGGTCCAGAGAAAAATGGAGTAGGAGAGGAGAAAGATGATGGTAAGGTAGGTGCCACTGTAGCCAATCCATCTTTAGAGGGGGAAGAATACAATGTTAAAAGGCAGCGTACACATAGATACTCACACATTGAGAAAGAGAGAGGAAGGAGAGAGGGGGTGTGTGGAGGGAGAGAGGGGGGTGTGAGGTGCATACAGCAGCAAGCAGTGCAAAACAAGGTGAAGAAATTCGCACAACCAATCACATGAGCACTATGCATTCACTTGTACTATGTGTGACGGCCCCGTTAACTGGCAACAAAATCATTCATACAATGTTTTTGCAACAACCGATATTCATTCTCGCACAGCAGGACGCCACAAGGTCAAAACTAAATCTGTACTCAATGAGACGTGGGGGCTGAAGGTAAACAAAACGTCTAACTCCTTTTAGAGTCAAATGTACGGGCATAAAGCTGTGCCATCTATTGTAGTATTATACTGCATTCAGTAACATTTACGTATATACTAGACTCGTTGTTCAGTCAAGCCAGCCAAACAGGGTCTGGGGGAATTTTGCAGGCCTTCCAAAAATGCAGTACACAACTGTATTGGGTTGCAGGCCAGAAATTCAAGAAACACGGAGTATTTTCTCTTTCCCGTCCTGCCTATGTTTCTCTCCCTCTCCGTTTCAAAAGAGAAATGAAAGCGAGTTACGGACGTAGCAGGCTAGCAACTAACCTCGCAAGAGAGAGAAGCGCGGGAAATACGCCCAGACTGAGGTCGTAACCGGCCAGCCAGAGTCCCGTCACCAGAGCCAGTATCACTACCAGAGAGACGGGGGAAGCAGGGAACACCCCGCTGTAAATGGCCGCCCGAAGTCTCAGTATCTTCTTCCCGTGGCCCCTGAAGTAGGAGCGGAGGGCGCTCTTGACGGCCTCCCTGTCGAAATGGAGGGATATTCCCTCGTCTGTGATGGCAAACTGAAAGGCCACGGCCTGGTGAGCCTCCGCCATGGCGCCTCGTCAAAGTCTCGACCGTTTTTCACGTCGACAGAAGCTGAGCGTGTGTGTACGCCTCCCTCTGCTCTAGCTCTCTCTAGCTCTTTGGCGACCTTTTATGCGCATGCGCATAAACAAGCCACGCCCATCGATACGTGAACCGTATAACCCGAGTTTACGGAGCCGGATATTTTTCACGAATTGGAGGTGACGAGAAAGACGCTAGCAGAGAGGGAGAGACTGCCGTTGAGAAGTTTCTATACGACGGTGTGACGAAACAGCCTTGTCAGTAAGTGTTCTGGGAGCGTCTGTGCCGTTTTTCAACGATGTTGGGTTGTTTCCGGCGCGTGCTACGCGAGTCTTCTTCTTCCAGGCCAAGTTTATCGAGGATCGCGCGATTGTCTCTGTCGACACACACCCACGACTCTACACGGCACAGAGTCGTTCCCTGCGTAATATTTCACAAGTTGTCACCGACTGCTAGCTAGCCTAGCAGTAATGCAACCAGCTATGCGCCATAATAAAGTAGCTCGAGGTAATAATTATTCTACAGCTACAAGCTCGTCCCAACGAGAGCCAACCTTGTATATACAACTAGCTCGTTCGCGCTGTAACTTGGACCATACCACACAGTATAAAGCAATGTGGCCTCTGCTTTGCTGTTAGAATCTGTAAAATGAGGACCCTGAATGTCTTCCCTGGTTCTAGAATTGTCTTAGCTGAGCAATGGAAGTGGTGGTTGTTTAGAAAATGGCACGAGATTCTTTCTCTCTTTGCATTTTCGTCGGAATTGTTACCTCTACGGTTGTTTAGCAGTTTTATATGTATGTTACTGTATGTGTTGGTAAGTTGAAGATGTGTAAAAAAACAAGTGTCAAATTTCAAAACAAACTGACATGGGAACCACTCTATTAAACAAAAACAGTTACTGTTTGCTTTGCTGAAATTGTTGTTGGTTTTTCACTTGTCTTGTTTAGTTTATGGGGGCGTTTTATTGGTTAGGAAAAGTAGGGGCTCTTCGAAATCTCATATATAGCTATGTGTATATTCATACATGCACTCTTTGTTGAATGGTCTGTGACACCCATACATTTGAAGTTGAATGCAACTTTTCCCACACAACACAAAGTTGCAGTGCGGGTCAATGTGCCAGGTTTTGGTTGGGCTGTTTGTTTGGGCTGTGTCTGCATTTTTATGGCGCATCCATCAGTAATTTGACTGAGCTAGGCGTCTATGTAGCTCAGTTGAATAGACATTAGTAATTTGATGGGAAATTTTGATAAATTGGGGCAGAATAAGTCGTGTTGTGTGTGTGTGTGTGTGTGTGTGTGTGGTGCTCGAAATACGAGTTATGGCTCGTTCCAGAGATCACAAATGACTTCAAACTAACAGGCGATTTGCCGTGTAATATGAGAAGGCCACGCTGATATCATATCCCAGATGGGTGGTCCTGGGCTTGTACAATACATGTATGCACCCACACCCTGTCCTATAATAGTCTTATACACCTGGTGCATGCGCATAACATATTTACTTCCCTGTTGCATCATGCTATAATATGTAAGGACATAAACGGTACAAACTGCTGTGTTACATAATAATTATGCTAAAAATTATAATTTGGCAAGGAATCCAATCATGTGACACAGTCAGCTTGTATCTTACCAACACATGTATGTATGTATGTAGCACTACACCGTACATTCAGTTAGGAGAACATAACTGCTGCTGAGTTGTGGTGTAGTGAGTAGTATGCCATTACATACACATCTTTCCCATTCAGCATGTTAGTGCTATAGTTTTGATACACGTAGTACTGTTCACTTGTGTATATTGTGTACATCACTTGTACTAGTATACTAGTATACTAGTAAGTAGTCTGATTGAAATACCATCTTTACTACAAATTGTGTCTGTAATATTATATTCCGTATCAGAAAATGGCGACATCAGAAGACGTCCCAATGGTAGTACCACATGAAGACAGTACAGCGACCGTTACTATCGCCACGGAAACCGATAAACCGGGAAAACTGGATTTAACAAACTCTGGGGCAGATTACCGATAACGCTGTTGCCCCTGGAGACGATCTCGTCATGAATGGTTCAGTCACCGGGGAAAAAGAGAGCACGGTTTCCCCCGCAACGACCCTGCCACGACCCCCGAGAATGGGGTGGGGCTTGTTGTCACGGTGTGTGGGACAACGGAGGCGGGGGAGGAGGTGTGTGTGACAGTGGGAAGGGAGAGGGGGGAGGGGAGGGAGAGGGGAGAGGGGAGAGAGAGATCTGGGTCCTTACCAAATGGACAACTGTCCAGTACAGGTGAGTTACCATTTCCCACGACGATGAGCGATGATTCTGTTCTTGTCATTCAGCATTTCCAAGACAACACCGGCACAATCGTTCCTTTTCCTCCGCTCGCTCTGGGAGACTGTCTCCTTATGGCTCTGAGGGTGTGTTTATTACATCATTCGTCTCCCTCCCTCCACCCCACACACACAAGGATTGAGTATTTCTCTTTGTTCTCCTCAGGTCATCATCGCCATCTGATGTTGGGTCACTGTACCAGGACTCTTCCTTCTCTGCAGATCTCCATCTCGTTGCTGAGGTATTACTAGGGAAGCTTTACTATACATACATAGTAGTGTAGCTCCCACTGTTGTACAGTTTTCATGTATTTATACGTTTGTAAAAACCGCTGAAGTTTTTGCACTCTGTGTTGCTCACTGAAATGGTAGTTCTAGTAAACCTTTCATCACTTCTTTGCTTAACAACCATAGGAGGTGGTTTTACCTCTACTCTTCTGGGCTTACTCTAAATCCCACCTCTTTTGGCCAGCTGTATTGTGTGTTGATGCACTGGG